TTTGATGATAAAATTCTTGTTGTATCAAGTAATTCTTGTATACGTATTGATGCTGCACGACGTAAAGCAAACAATTGTCCAACAGACATTTGTCCTAAATGATATTTTGATGAATTAAAACTTGGACGATGAGATTTTGTAAATGAATGCCATTTAACACGTATTTTACGACTAGCTGGTAAACGTGATGGTGTTGTTGATGATGGTATTGTATTTGTTGCATCGCTTTCTGATGTTGATGATGAGGGTGATGATGATGACGATGAGGATGAAATGGAAGATGTTGATCGATGTAATGGATCAGTATTATTTGTTAATACAATTGAATCAATTTGTCTTTCAACACTACTTGTTCCAAGACCGGAATCTTTTCTATCAGTTGGTGAACGAATATGAGTTAATACTGAACGTTTTGAAGTATGTTCATCGGCCGATGATGCTGATGTTGCTGTTGGAGAACGATTATCAATAAATACGGGTTCACTTTGATAACCAAGTGGTGGTGGTACATTATCATAGAATGAAAGACGTGTCCAATCATAAACATGAAAATGTCGACGAGCAAAAAGTGTTGCTTGATGTGAAGGTGATTTGGTTGAATTTCGAGGTAATGCTGTTATTGATGAATTAATAGGATTATTATCATCGGACGGAATAATTATAGGAAAATGTTGATGATTTGATAATGTATTCGTTGTTGTTATTAGTTGTTCATCACAGATCGGTGATAGACGATGAATCGATTTATCAAGAGTAATGACCTTTAAATAGATAAATAGATTTTTTTTTATGAAATAGTATTTTCAAGGATAAAAAATGAAGGAAAAATGTAGTTATTAAATAAGCATTTAATAACCTCGAGAGAGAAAAAACGAAGAAGAAGAAGAAATTTCATTTCACGCAATATTGACTTTTTTTTATTGCTTGAGGAAGTTAAATCTTTGATATGATAAAATAATTTAGATAGAACTTCTTCTTACCGTTTGTTCAGTATTATGGGTTTCTGTTGAAGATTCATCAATAGTCAATGAACCACCATTGTTGGGTACTGTTGTGGATGACGTGGGTAATCTATGTCGTCGACGATGGATGTCAACTGTTCTATTACTATTGTTATTATTATTATTATTATTATTTGCAGTAATTCTCAATTTATTTTCATGATGTCGATGTTGCATATGAGTTTTATTTTCAGGACTACTACATTCAGCTTCTTTTGATGAATAGCCTGATGATTCATGGTGATGATGTTGATGAGATTTTAATAATGATGATGATGATAATGAAATAGGTTCATTTATTTTCAATTCCATCACATCATCATTTGAAGTGATCATCTAGAATAAAAATATTCATTATATAAATCAATTTCTCAATTTTTTTATCTTAACACTCTTTTCCTCATTTATAACAACATACATACAGAACACTATTTTTGTATGATGGTCGTCGACGCAAAATTAGTTCAACAATCTTCTTCTTCTTCTCCTCTTCTTTCTTCTTCTTCTTCTTTTTCTTCTTCCCTCTCGCGCGTTGGGTATATGCTTATGTGTGCACACACGCGGCGCGCTTTTCTTTTTTTTTTTTTCTTTATCCGTTTGCCTTTGCGCTTGTGTGTGTGTGTCTGTGTGCGTGTATACACATACGCATACGCCCGCACACAAAAACGAGGTCACTACTACAGCATTATACTGAATAGTATATGACAATTGTAACAATGATGAGGAAGAACGCCATACGATTATTTATAGATCGAAGCTACGAACATCTTATATAAATTTTCTTTTCTTGTATATTCACTAGGTACTGTATGTTATCAAGAAGGATGACAATGAATAAAACATATGTAATCAAGGACAACTCATGCACGTCTCTTCACAAGTACACGCATCAAAGCTCATCTCAGTCGACTCGTTTTTATTCGTCGTTTTCCTTTTTTTTTATGTAATAAGAAGATAGCGACTAGTACTGATAATAATACTAAATCGAATATTGTATGAGACGAGAAAGCGTGGGTGGTATTTTTTATTTGTATGATGTACTTTCTTCTTTCAAAGATGCTGATGATGATCATCATCATCGTACGCAATAGAAGAAGAAAAAAATAGAGAAAAACAGGATTTGCTATTATATAGTCGTAATACAACGACTAGTACTAAACTGGAACTCACATCGGAAGATCGATAAATCACTTAGTAGTAGTGCACATCTCGGCCTTCCTTCGATGTATATAGATGCAAATAGAGTTGGCGAGAACGACGATATAGCCGACTAATGGTACGCAACGAAAAAAAGCAATAATGAAGTGGCCACTTAAATCAATCCCTAAAGCTGCTACTTCGTTTATGCTAGCCAGTGTGTTGTGTCTCAGCTGTCCAAACACGAATACACTCACCTATATTTTTTTAATGAATGATTTCTTTTATAATTATTTTGTCTACTTGTCCACCTAGTACAAGACAGTATACTATGAAGAAAACTAAATAAAGAGGATATTGGAATGGAATAAAAATCGTTAGTTAAAGAGAGAGAGCAAAAAAAAAAGAAAAAAGATTAACGCATGAACACATGTATGGCGTAATATGCAATTATTATTATTTATCGATACACATATACTCATACATCGGTTCATCAATGATAATGACAACGACAGCGACGTCGTGGCTACGAAGAAGGATTATATAAAAGACACAAACTCATATGTATATATATATATATATATATATACACATAAATATATGCTTATATGTGTGTGTATATACACATAGAAAAAGGGGAATACTTCAAGCGAACCAGTCATAGAATGTTGTGCAATCATTATACTATTTGAACATTATATGTCGTTCAATACTAAGTATACATATGAAGAATCAAAATCGTAATATGTTTTGTTATATATGCATTTTACTCATCTTGCATATGTCATTTATGTCAGTTGTGATAGTATTTGATCCATTGTTTTCGTCTTCTGGGAAGAGAATTGACACATGTAAAGAAAAAAATGCGTTAGTGTGTCTTACTTGCCTACGGAAGCTACATTTTCCATCTCCGCGTCTTCCTTTATTTCACAGATAGGTGTGCTTTTGTCGTGTAGACGTGAATGTGCGCGTGTTGAATAACAACAGCGAGTCGATGTAAAAGAGGAGAAAAAAAATATTGTGAAGATAAGCGAGTGAGAAAGAAGAGAAGAAACAAACGTGCTTGAGGTGTAATATGACGATTATAAACCGAGCAGTAGAATTGCTGATTCATACTAAAAAAGAAAAAACCTGAAATAAAATGAGGGGATAGAGAGAGAGAGAGAGAGAGACAGAAAGAAAGAAGGAGGAGGGAGAAGAAAAAGTCGAATAGATGAGAAATGAAAAGGCACAAGTTTATCGTCTATTACTCAGCCAAATTACAAACAAAAAATGAATATTATTCACCAATATATGCAATACATATCAAGGATGTCTCAGTTTTTCTTTTTCTTTCTTTTTTTTCGATATTATATTTTTTTTTCTTCTAATTATTTCTTAATAGTAGGCGGAGATATTGATAACTGATTTAAATATATATAAAAGAACAGCTGAACATTTACCCTCCGACTTAAATTGATTGACTGAAATAAAGTACACCTGTTGTTTTATTCGTGATAAGAAATATTTACCGAGATAGGAGAAATATTTCCTGTCTATTATTAATGATTAGTCTAAGATAAAACTATAGCAACTATCAGTTATTATTATTATCGATAAAAGATCGATTATTCCATTAATATAAAATGAATATTTCATTGATAAATAGTCTTTTAGTAAAGACGCATATATTTCAATTAAAAATCTTTCATCTTATTTATTCTCTATCTAATATAAATAATATATATTCGCAATAGTTTAAGTACAAAATTCATATTTTGTAGTATTAGTAGAAGAAAATCTATTTTGATCAAATAAAGAAAGAAATATTTACATATTACTTTATCTAATATAATTTCATATCATTTGTACAATAAACTAATAGATATATCAATAGTCAATGGTATTTAAAGGTTATAATAAAACGTTAATGATTATGTCAATATTATATTAAAAAAAAACGTTCGAAAATATTATCATTTCATTACACAATTTTCATGAAGTGTATAGAAGAAACTTATCAGCATTGATATATAAGATGTCGATGAATTCGATAGTATTCTTATTTAACACGAATAACATCAGTTTTGTTTAATGGATGTCAAGTAAAACGAAATGTAACCTTTCGTTTATATACCACCGTTTTTTCTTCTCTCTCTCTCTTTTTTCTTCTTCTTCTTCTTCGTCTTTCTTTCAAGTGTATATGCAAATAAATGCAATTATTATAAAACTTCTGAAATAATAAACATCAACTTGAATCGTATTTTTCAAGTGTTACATCATCTCTCTGTATGACCTCTCATTATTTACACATTCTTCTTTATAGTTTGATTGATAACGTTGAAATTGTTGATAGAAGAAAATTTCAAAAAAAAAATGAATAAATGATCATTTTCATAAGATATGACGTTTTTTTCTTCTCTCTCTCTTTAAGCGATAACTTTCTGCTCTAATACATCATTAGATGTTTGATATGTCTAATAGTATACATCTGGTTAGATTGTTCATTCGATTGGAATAATATTGATTATATGAACGCGCATTATGTAAAATAAGCCTATCATTTCTTTTTTTATTGTTTATATTTCTTTGTCATAACAATATCAATCATTCTGGTTATCTTCTTACTTTCATTAAAGTCACAATAACTTTATTATTCATTCCATCTCATTCGATTGTATAATACATATTTCATGTCAATGTATACGTTAAGATATAAAATTACTTTCAATATTGTCTAGACAATTGTTCTAACAATAAATACTCTTAAGAATTCTCTTTTTTTTATTTTATTTCTCATACATCAGTACTGTGAATAATAACAATGTGTTTGTTTACATAATTTTATTAATCATTACCCCAATAACAAAAAAAACATATAACGAAAACTTTTCTTCGAACGGTTTTTCTTTACAATTGATCTATATTTAACCAAGATATATCAATGGATTTCATTTGAGGAGAG